GTCGAAATGTGTTTTTAAGTAAGAAAGTGTATGAAAACTTCAACTACTTTAGAAATGTTCAAAAGAAGTAATTAAAACTGGAAATGCTGAATGAGAAGACTTGGAAGAAAATGAAAGTAAAGAACACGAATCAAGTTTAAACCAAACAAACTAAAAACTTTGCATTGAAGGCAAATTATGGTGATTCATTTTCTATTATTGCTATTACATTCTCTCAGCCATTCACTTGTTTCTCTTAACACTGATACTTTGAGTTTTTTAGTGAGACTTTTGTAATACAATGAACACACCCAAATTCAACATAATGAACCCCTATATATACAAGTGTAAAATAACTACCTCTAACGTTTCTATCCTTAGAGTTTGCCATGTGAAGCTCTGCATGCACCCTATCTTCATACTTCCTTCACATGTCTCTTCAGAAAGAAAACCTCAAACAATTATTAATATTTGAACATGACAAGGCGCACCCAAATAACTGCTTCTTCGACCAATGTTTCCTTGTTGTAAGACCAGCATGGTCGAAGTATACTTGTGTCAAAATATTTCTCGCAACATCTGAAAATTCCCTAAGTCCAGAATCTTGGTCGAACCAAAACTCCTTTTCTCCGTCCTTATTTGCTGGGGTTTTCCCTTAGTCGAAAATCTTGGCTAACATTGTCTTAATTGAGGAGACAAATTTCGAATCCATCTCATGTGATCCAAGTGGATGATCTACAAGTGAGAAAGGACATGACTGTTAAGACATCACCCATGCAGATAGAGGATCAGGAAGTGAAACAGTTACATGGTAAGAAAATTGCCTTGGTGAAGTTAGTGTGGAGAGGACCAACTGGAGGGCTAGATGAGAGAGTCGTATCCGACTCTGTTTCCTTCAGGTAATTCCCGAGGGCGAAAATTTTACAAGTGGGGATAATTGTAACGCCCCGAAATTTTGTTAAATGATTTAATCAGATTATTTCATATTTTATTTAATTAATTAATATTTGGTGTGCTATTAATTAAATATGTCTGATGATTTGTATGTGCATGTGGGGCATTGGTGGAAAGTAGTGAGAGTCTTGGTAGGATGGTAGAAGGATTAGAATAATTAAAGATAATTAGAGTTATAGTTATTTTGATCATTAATTAAAATAAAATAGAAAAAAAATTGGGTGGAAAAATAGGAAATTAGAGAATAGGAGGGGAGTGGTGAAAATTGTAACATAAGTTGGGCCTTAGTGCAATTTGAAAAGACTAAGAATTAGGTTAGAGATAAAGAGTGGTTAGTGGAATTTTTGGAAAAAGAATAGTACATAAAATAGAATTGGGAGAGAAGAGACAAGGGTAGGGTTTAGGAAAACCTCCAGTGTTATAGCTTGAAGATGTTTTTGTTGGAAAATCTAAGGTAGGGGATTACTCCTAATATGGTGTTAAACGCATGATTGGGTATATGGAAGTCCTTAATTCCATTAGGTTTTTCCCTAATTTTCCCTTTTGATGAATGATTGATGAATATCATCTAAATTATGCGATAACATGAATTATATGATGTATTATATGAAATTCGTGTACTGTTTTACCATGAAAATTGTGTGTTCATGTTAATGATGTTGGTATGAATTGGTATTTCTATGTGTGAGGTGATTTTGATGAATAAAGCATGTAAAATCCATGATTAATCGAAGAAAATGCATGTTAATCAATAGATAGATGATGCATAAATGTTAAACATTATTTTCTTTGATGTTGTTGTTCGATTTAGGGGACGGGAAGGGAAAACCAGAGTTCTGAATTAAACTCCTTGTCCAAAACACATATTTTACTTTTTGCTTCAGGGTGACGGGCCCCACCCTCATGATGACCAGGTCGTCACAACCTTTGAGGCGCTGACGGGCATCAGCTTCCTAACGGGTAGAGCGTCATGGTCCCATGCACAGGTTTATAGGACGAGCGTCATGGTGATGACGTGTGAGGTGCATTGGCGGCTGACAGTCGTCACCCTGGCAACGGGAAACCCCTCATGCTGCTATAATGAATGTCGTTTGCTCAGTTGCATGGAATTGAGTTTTCGGTTCCGATATTTGATGTTGTGTTGTGATTATGCTACTGTTTGGACACTATATGAAGGTGTTCTAGTGTTTTTTATTATTGATTGTTGAATTAATAAATTATTATGATGTCGTGCATAATTATGGTGATTATATGGTGATAACTTTGGTGATATTGCATGTTATTCAGAATTATGCATCATGGTGTACAAACTCCGGTCTAGTTTTGGTGTGCTCTGGTCTAATGGCGTGGATTCAAGAGCGAGTAGCTGATTCCAAATGGGAATCGGTGAAGCGTTACTAAAGGTGTTAAAAGCGAGTTCGTGTGCTCTGGCTCTAAGGTGAGAAATCAGGAGCGATATGGACCTATGTTGTCTATAATGGTACCACATGCATGTAGAGTCTTGGTGTTGAATACATTGCATCTATTGTTGCATATGTAATTGTTTGATTATGTTGATATTGGTGGTTGAAATTACCTGTGTAGTTGATGTGAATGAATTGTGTGATTGTTGATGTTTTCTTTTTCTACCCTTGCATACTTTTGCATCATTATATATTATTAGCGTATTCTCACCCCTTTGTAGTTTGTGTGGTTCTGTGCTTCTTTTTGGGGTACAAGCGAGTAGATAAATGAGTAGCTTCTTAGAAGTTGAATAATGGTGTTGAGGCTATTCTTCTTTTGTCATTTATGCGATATTTATATTTCGTTGCTCTGATCTGTAACACTGGGTAGACGAACATTTTATCTTATCATTTGTTATTTGTTTTGAAGTTGTTAATGTTGAAGGCATTCTGCCCTAACTAAGTTTTACGTTATGAGACAAAAATCTATGAGAATCCACATTATGTTGTCCATTCTGACGCGATGCAAATGTTCAGTTTCTCCATATTTTTGGTAGCAAGTAATATTTTTTGTTTGAATGCGGCTAAGTACCCTTCTCTAAAACGGCTAACCAACAAACATGTGCTACCAAGAACCACATAGTTTTGAGTTCCCTAACGCACATGGGGATACGTAGGAGCGAGATTCAACGTCTCGTCAAGCACTATAATAAAAAAATCCAAAAAAATATTTTTATTGCAAGAACTACGTAATTTTAAATTCCTCATCACACCTAGAGGATACATAGGAGCAAGACTCACAATATTGTCAAACACCCTAATAAAAAACTTATTTTTAGTCTTTTTCTTTTTCCCCTCTAAACTTTTAATAATTAGAAGAGATAAATGAAAGCTAACACTCTTATTCGTAAAGCTATATAAATGGTTTCCGTTGAGTATAATAGATGGGAGGGGTGCTAATTACCTTCCGCTCGCATAACCGACTCTTGAATCCAAATTTAGTTGTGACGACCATTTTCATTTTTCTTTAACGATTTTATCGATATTTTCTCTTTCATTTTGGAATAAATAAAATTCAGTGGCGACTCTATTATTATTTCGAGTGTGCGAACGCTCGGGTATTTTTCGCGCTGCGACACCTGTAAAGGAGAAAGGTAAATAGGGTGAGATCACAGAAAAGGAAGCAACAAAAGCTTCGAATGCTTGAGCAAGAGAGCCAAGATTTGAGATCCAAATCTAAAAAGAAGAAATGAGCAAATAATAGTAGGAAAGTGGAAAAGGGCTTTGGGAGGATACCTACCCTTTATAAGGGAGCCAAACTATAATCAACGATCCATATGAAAAGTAAAAAAAAAGATCTAAAGGTAACAAATCAATCGTCCCATCAGAAAGAATAAAGAGTGAAAAATACTCATGTACCCTAAAAAGGGGAATCATTCCTTGACCTGCACACCTAGGGTTACGTACTAGAACCAAGGGCTCAAACATTTTAGTAATAAGAAAGTATTTAATGTGCTTGTCTCCACTACTGTTTCAATTGACTCCAAACATTTCACTTCTAGTTTAGATGACATCCTTGGAGGTCGATCACAGCTGTTAAAGACTTTTTTGACTCCCTAAACGTGCGGGAAGTCTTGGAGGCAGGTGTTCTGGGCCGATAAAGGCCCAAATCGCTAAGGCACAAATTAATGCAAATTCACTCCACATGATCCAACGTATAAAAGTCACCTCACATGAAATACAAATTATATTTTTTTATCTCCACTTTTATGATACTCATCTTGAATTTTAAACTAACTTGAACGTTAGAGTACTAACCTTACAAATTTACCCTCGTCGTTGTATTGCAAATAACACCGTTGATTTAGAATTTCTTATCACCTACTTCAATGATTTCTAATTTCATGATAGAACACGTACAAATCATCAATTTAAACTTTTTCAACTGATCAATCTCATTTAATGAAATTGGTACTCAAGAAAGTCTGAGTAAAATCAATCTTTTTATTACCGATGCATCCTCGCACTTGCGATTAGCATCACAACGCTTCATAACTAATATAGCTAGTGAGGTCCACCTCAGATTCTACTTCATGAACACTTCTCAAGACCTTCAATACAGTCTTATAGGAAAATGAGAATGGAGAATGAAAGGGAACAATAATAGTTGTGGTTCAAAGTGTTAGGTTGGAGATTTTGACACATCTATCTTTTGAGGGTCCAATCCCATTTTACTCTAAAGTTTGGAGAGAATATTTAAGGAGATTTCATGTTGCTGCTTTTCCCTTTAGATAATTTTAGGTCTACACTAATATGCTTTAGCCATATATAAATTAGATAGTATGCATTGATTTCTGTTATCAAGAAATTATTTTACCTTTCTATACTTTACGATCATTTGTTAATTTTAAAAAAAAATTAAATAGCAAAACTAATTGAAAAGCAAAGGGTAAATCAACATATTTTAATTAAATCAAATATTCAATTTCAATATACATTATCTCATCCTCAATCTACAATAAACCAGTTGAGAAAGAAAGAAAGGTAAATCACATTTCTACTTCTAACCCAAACTATATATGAATCACAACCATAACATTAAAATTTAATTTTACAACATACACTTCATCCCATATATGAGGATTCATCATAAGTAAGTTCAGATTCTGTAATAGCTCGAGGCTTATTGCCACCCCCAGACCTCTTCTTACTGTTACCCCCGCCACAAGTTATCGAAATCTCACACCCTAAAGCTGTTCCAAAGCACGAAAATGGTCCATTTCGCCTTGATCTTTGATTCTTACGTTTCCCTTTTGCCGTTGGTTTCCCCGCCTTATTCTGTTCGAAGCTATTATTATTCTCCCCCGAATGAGCATACACAGGCGGAGGCAGCTCTAGCGTTCTCCACCGATCCATCTTCATATTCAGGCGTTCCCCGCCAATCTCTTTCTCCTGCGGCCATTTCTCAAACATTGAAGTTGAATTCATTGTCTTACGCGGCATCTGCAATGGCAATGGATATAGTCCTTTTGCTATGGCCGCTGCGACAACCGACGGAGAAGGTCCAACGTCAGAGCATAATGATCCGTTTGCATTCACGATCACACCTTTCCTCCCAGTCGGATTCGGAACACCGATTTCCGATTCAGATTCATCACCGTAACCGTTTTTTCCGTCAGGATTATAAATATAATCACTAATCGTCGAATCATTTTTCTCGCTCTGCGATCGTTGAAGCGTCATAATAAGCTTAGCATCATAATTATTGTTTTCCATTTGATTCACTTTTTTAGGGTTTGTTAAATCGTAATACTCAACCGCGGAACCGCTAAGTTCTGAATACATCGGCATGCTTCTCAACGTAGCGTCGACGAGATTAACGCCGATGTTGAGAATTCCCTGAGGACGACCGGAGGGACGACGAACCTGTAATGCGACGAAACGGATCTTCGATTTGCGGTTAGCCGAACGAGGTATGAGGCTGTTGAGATGAACGTCGACGGTTCCGATGAGAATATCACGCAGCCAAGAGGAAGCGTAGATTTCAATCATGATGGAGGAATCTTCGGCTTGGAGGTAATCCTCGTCGATGCGGAAAACGAATTTCTCGTTCCAGGTAGGGTTGTTGTGGCCGTGAGGATCAATTTGGGTGGTTAACTTGTAATCTGGATTGAGCCATGCAACTGCGTAGGCTTTGATTGATTTAGAAACTTGTGATAGGTCTTGTGCTGATATGACGTTGATTTCCAAGAGTTGAAATGGGGGTGCTAGCATTGACATTGTTGATGTTGATGTTGGTGATTGTAGGGTGGAAATTGAAATGATATTGTTATGAAGATGATTGATGATGGCATGGGAGCTAGCCGATGGTGTTGGTGGCGGATGCTCGCCCACCACCCTGAAGAAGAGATGAAAATATATACTTCAATCTGTCTATGGGATAGCTAAGTTATATTGGAAAGCTAAAAATGACATATTTGTTTATTTTTTTTTTGGGTTTGAGTTATGTGAGAGATTTGATGAAGGAGAGAATGTTCGTTTGTTTGAGACAGATTGATTTTGCTGGAGTAGTAGGTTATTATGGACTATTTTTTGGATTCCATTAATTAATTAGGTTTCAATTACATAGTCTAGATGTTTAGGTCGTGTAATTCAAATAAATTGAGTATTTTGAAAAATGGTGGGATGAGAGATATCCTACAAATTAATATGGGTTTGAAAAAAAAAACTTTCTCTGGTCTTATATATGAAAAAAAAAATTATATATCTATAACATATATAAAGGGAAAACTTAAATTTTGTGTATTCTATTTTTATTTCAATTATACCGTTTTATTTTTTATTTTAAAATTCAACTTCTCTTTTATTAACTTCTTTTTTATTAACTGTTATATATAATCTATAACATATATAAAGAGAAAACTTATATTTGGTGTAGCCTATTTTTATACCAATTATAACTTTTTGTTTTTTATTTTAAAATTCAACTTCTTTTTTATTAAGTTCTTTTTTATTAACTGTTATCTATAATCTATAACATATATAAAGGGAAAACTTAGATTTGGTGTAGTCTATTTTTATTCCAATTATACCCTTTTGTTTTTTATTTTAAAATTCAACTTCTCTTTTATTAACGGTTATCTATAACATATATGAAGGGAAAACTTAGATTTGGTGCAACCTATTTTTATCTATAATCTATAACATATATAAAGGAAAAACTTAGATTTGGTGTAGCCTATTTTTATTCCAATTATACCCTTTTGTTTTTTATTTTAAAATTCAACTTTTCTTTTATTAACTTCTTTTTTATTAACTGTTATATGTAAGTTTGCAAAACTATTTCATTTGATTTTTTTTTATATAAAATTAAAATTTTAAAAAAATAAACACACAAAAAATATGTTTATATTTTTAAACGTCTGGATGCTAGTACAAAATAAATATAAAAAATGCTAATTATTGCTTGTTGTGTGCTCTTTTCCTATAACATATATAAAGGGAAAATTTAGATTTAGTGTAGTCTATTTTTATTTCAATTATACCCTTTTGTTTTTTTATTTTAAAAGTCAACTTCTCTTTTATTAACTTCTTTTTTATTAACTGTTATCTTCTCTAACATATATAAAGGGAAAACTTAGATTTGGTGCAGCCTATTTATATCTACTAGCGTCCAAACGGGCACTCCGTGCCCGTTTGTCCGCTTTTTTTACGGCGCTAACGCGTGAAAATATTAACAACGTCTTTTTTATAAGTTTAATTTTAATATCAAATATTTATATGATGAAATATATTGTATTTATTTAGATGCATATTAAGTTTTATTTGCAATATGTAATATTTGTGTGTTAAATTTTGTTTGAATTGAGAAAATCGCATTATGAGATGACTATATTTAACCGGTTTTTTTCAAGCAAATCAATAATGTGAAAGGAATAATTTGATGGTTATGAATACCGTATTAAAGAAAAAGAAAATAGATTACACCAAAATTAAGTTTTGTATTTATGTATTGTTATAGATTGTACAAAATCATACGAAGATTTAAATAAAATAAGAAGAAAAAAAATGTTTTTTACATTTATTAAACTAATAACATAAACATTAACAGAGACATTAAGTGACATTGTTGCTTAGTAGGAAGGTCAACCATGAAATCGAAATAAAAAATATCTCTTGTTTTACTGCAAAACAAATGAAATAAATTTTAGTAGTAAATAATATAATGTAATACAGTGAGTGCACGCCAAGTGTGACTTTGCAAAAGTATAGTTTATTTTAAAATAATATAGTGTAATATGTCATCCTCTTTATTATCCCTAAAAAAATCAATATGTGGCACAACATGCATAATAGAGCGGTTTTTAAAGTTTGCATTGTTTAGTGTATACTAATTAAATCTATAACTATATATAAAGGGGATAGAACTTTTTGGTGTGACCTATTTTTGTTCCACAATTACCCTTCATTAATGCTTAATTTCATATTTTTATTCCATATTTACCCTTTATCTTAATGTTTAATTTCTCACATGATTTATTTAATAATAATACTAAATAATAACTGTAAAAAATAACTTCCCACTATTTCCAATAGTCCTTCCTATTATTAAGATTCATACTAACTCCTCTATGCAAAGTGAGTCTCTCTCCAAGCCACTTACAAACTATTTCTCTCAATTTGTCAAGCTATTTGCAAATTAACCATTATTGGAGCGCAAATAATTGATCTATTACTTCATCTATAATTTATCAAGATAATTCAATCTTCACTGGTACCTTTGTTTGAAATACAATGGAATGAATGTATAAAGTAGTGTAGATCAAGACTCTCAACAAACTCATTCTGATATTATTTTTGTCAGGTATTTTTTTAAATATAATTGAATGAATTTATTAAAAATTGATCACATCTCCTCCTATTTACATTTTTATTGGTTTACATTCTTTTATGGACATCGTTTCTGGATATTAATGGAAACTAACAGTTACACTTGCGTGCATTTTTTGTTTTGTTTTTAATTGATACATGGAAGTTTTTTTTGTACTTGATAATTACTGTAACTATGAAATAGTTGCTAAGAAATTGTCGTAACAATTGAAATATTGCATAACTTTTGACGCACACTTCCTGTATAAATTGGAAATTATATGATACAGGGATGTTTTGTAGATTATACTAAGAAATTGTTTGGATGTTTTCAATGGGTATTTGATATATTTGGTGTAATTATTGACGAAATATGACACTACACGTAATTATTACTCAATTACATTGGAAGTCTCTATTAAAATACAAAATTCATAAACTGCCATAAAATGTTTCCGACACAATATTCATAACCACATGTATTGTTCATTGTAGTATCAGACTGTCATCATCATACACATAAAAGTTTGAAGTAGTATTATATGCTTTGTGGTTTGTGTCAATTATCATGATTTTAGGTATACCTATATATCAGGACTACCATAATAGAAAGCAGATGGAAGTACTTAGGTATACTAAATTAGGTAATTTATAAAATATACTAATATTTAAGCTTGAAGTATATAGTTTAGTATATTTACTCTTGGAAAAATATTCCCTAATTATTTATAAATAAATAACCTTAATTATATATCTCAGAAACTATATATCATATGCTTTGTGATTTAGCCTTAGGTATAATTCTCATTTAGCCTTAATTTGGTATTAGTATAATTTGTTTAAGTTTAGTGTAATTGGTTGTTACTGTTTTTCAAACTCATTAGTCTAATACTTTTAATTTTAAATAAATTACATCCGATTTTTTTCCAGATATACATGAGGCAATAAGAGTAGAACGTCACAACGCCCATAACTGTTAGGCATAGCATCCCAATTCCCCATCCTAATCCTCTGAACGCGTATGGAAGACAGAAGATAAAAAAATATCGGTTGTATCATATATAAAATTCTATAACGTGGCTTTTGTTTAAGACATGCATGGAAGTTGTTAGGAATGGAAACTATAATAATAAAATTACAAATTTTATTATGTATGTTTATCAAAAGAATCATTTATGAATTTTTTGTCGAATTCTGTAACACTATCTCTCTTATTCCTCTTTTTTTATAAGTCTTCTTAACTTCTAGACCTTATTCACTTCTTTTATTCAAAAGTTAAAATCAAGGCATGCAATGAAACAATTTGTCACTCACATGTTATTTCATATTTTACATATTTGAAAGGACTCTAGGTGAGGAAACATAAACCACAAATCAAGACATGGTAATCGAATTTAAAAATACAATTGCAATTATGAAAGAAAGTATAAAGTTACAATAACATATAAAGAGAGGGGGAGAAGAATCAAAGATGCGTTAAAAATAAGAGAGGAGTGATTTTACAATAATATATCTTTTTTAATTTCATAATCATATTTGAATTAATATCTATAACATCTCTATCTTTTTTGTAAAATTACTCCTCTCTTATTTTTAACGCATCTTTGATTCTTCTTCCCCTCTCTTTATATGTTATTGTAACTTTATATTTTCTTTCATAATTGCAATTGTATTTTTAAATTCGATTACCATGTCTTGATTTGTGGTTTATGTTTCCTCACCTAGAGTCCTTTTAAATATGTAAACTAGGAAATAACATGTGAGTGACAAATTCTTTCATTGCATGCCTTGATTTTAACTTTTGAATAAAAGAAGTGAATAAGGTCTAGAAGTTAAGAAGACTTATAAAAAAGAGGACATAAGAGAGATAGTGTTACAAAATTCGACAAAAAATTCATAAATGATTCTTTTGATAAACATGCATAATAAAATTTGTAATTTTATTATAGCTTCCATTCCTAACAACTTCCATGCATGTCTTAAACAAAAGCCACATTATTGAATTTTATATATGATACAACCGATATTTTTTTATCTTCTGTCTTCCATACGCGTTCAGAGGATTAGGATGGGGAATTGGGATGCTATGCCTAACAGTTATGGGCGTTGTGACGTTCTACTCTTATTGCCTCATGTATATCTGGAAAAAAATCGCATGTAATTTATTTAAAATTAAAATTATTAGACTAATGAGGTTGAAAAACAGTAACAACCAATTACACTAAACTTAAACAAATTATACTAATACCAAATTAAGGCTAAATGAGAATTATACCTAAGACTAAATCACAAAGCATATGATATATAGTTTATGAGATACATAATTAAGACTATTTATTTATAAATAATTAGGGAATATTTTTCCAAGAGTAAATATACTGAACTGTATACTTCAAGCTTAAATATTAGTA